CATACCTTCACCCAGTTCGGACCAATCAGAAATCATGAATTAAATAATACTCCTTTATATAACTCAACAAAAAGTTGCAGGCTCTCAGGTTGATACTTGTCTTTCATGTTCTAGTCCTTGTAAGGCTCTGTTGTCTGTTATTTTTCGCCAGTGCTCCATAAACCCTTCCCTTATGAAACCCTTCCTCTGGGTCCCCCCTATAAAAAAAGTAATTAGACACAAATTTGCTGTAAAATTTTCAAGCATTCAAAAGTAAAGAATGGTATAATGAAACCATATAACCATCCTACAAAATCCAATTCAATAATTATCAAGATTTGCCACTTTTTCTTCATCTATCCCTTCCTTGCTGGAGTATTTTGAAGCAAATCACAGAAATTTCTAAAAAATACGTGGTCAAGAGAAATTCTGAGTCAGTTATTGTAAAATCTATCAAAGTACTGAGCTAATATGGTGACCAATAGGTCACAAAAACTTTCTACTATAATCAGTACCATCAAGAAATGGAGAAGACAACCTGCAAAGTGTGAGAAAATATCTGAAAATCATCTGTCAAAAGAACTTGTATTCAGACTTATATAAGGAATTCCACAGTTCAACAATAAAAACACAAAAAAATCCAATTTAAAAATTGAGCAAATGAATATTTCCTCAAATCAAATATGCAAACGGCCAATAAACCCCTGAAAATATGCTCAATGTTATTAGTCAGTAGGGAAATCAAGACAAAAAAATCAAACAATGAGATACTTCTTCATATGAACTAGGATGCCCATAATTTTTAAAAAGTTATATAAGCATTGGTGAGAGTGTGTAGAAATTGAGACCTTAGTAAAGTGTTTAAAGGAATGTAAAATGGCTCTTCTTTACAAAACTGGCAGTTCCTTACAAGTTGAAAATAGTGTTTCATAGAAGAAGCAATTCCACTCCTAGGTATATATACACAAGAAATACATCCACATGAAACTTGTACATAAATGTTCATAGCAGCATTATTGTTAGCATTCATAAAGTAGAAACAACTCAAATGTCCACCAACTGATGAGTGGACAGGTAAAAATGTTTTGTCACTGGAGTCAAGCTCACCAGAAGATAGTCCAGTGGAATTCTCAGAGAAGGGGAGAACTCTACTGAGAACAACAGTGTTCTTGACATCTGTGATGGAAAAGCATATCAGCACATGTCAGTATAAGCACAGAGACTTACCTAAGAAAGTAAGGGATACAGATTCAAGGGAGAATGCAGGCCATCTGGAGAGATGTGTTTTTGTGGTTTCTGGCTCTTCTTTAAAAGAAACTTGCTGAGGGATGGGTATGGTGAGGTATGTAAAAATATCATTAGTTTGGTGATCTCAAAATGGTTTCTGGTGGTCTGCTTATTCTCAGGATCCTTCAGCTGACATGGTTTCCATTATCTGATCAAGAAATAATGTTGGGTTTTTTAAAAATCTCATCTCTCTTTGCTTAATACATTTATTGGGCTAATGAACAGTATACAAGTTAATTATCATAAGTGAATGATTTTACGGTAGCTCGAATTTACATATTTCCCAGAAATTATGGAGTGACAGGCCTGGGAGAGAGAGTGGCTTGGAGAGTGATAGGCCTGGAAAAGTATGTGAAGCTTTAAATTAAAATTATATTTCCTTGGGTTGGGGATGTGGCTCAAGCGGTAGCGTGCTCACCTGGCATGCATGTGGCCGGGGTTCGATCCTCAGCACCATATACACATAAACAAAGATGTTGTGTCAGCCGAAAACCAAAAAATAAATATTAAAATTCTCTCTCTCTCTCTCTCTCTCTCTCTCTCTCTCTCTCTCTCTTATTTTTTCATTTATTTTTTTAAAACTCAGCAAGGATTTATCCAAAAAAAAAAAAAAAAAAAAATCCCAGGCTATCTTGTTCCAAACCCTGTGAATTTCCCCACCCCCTTATACCACCAGTACCAAGCAAGGCAGATCTTTAGTTATTTAATAACTGTGATTAAATTGTTGAACTATAATCAACAGATGCAATTTAAAAACAAAATTATTGTGTTCACATTCCCACCACTGTGCTAAAGGGAAAGCTAAGAAAAAGAACCTTGTATTCTGGTCAGGGAAGAGGATTCCTAATCAGGCAGCAACTAGAAACAAGGCGACCAGTGATGAAAACAGAGAACCGCAGCTTCATTTCCAAGTGCAGACCAGGCTTCCTGGCAGAGTTGGTGAGAGGCCAGGAAGGGTTGATCAGCTGGAGAAGTAACTTTATGAGTTCTTTTTTCTCCTGCTAAATCTGAGGTTTCCAGTCGAGGCATAGGGGGTGAGAAAAGATCCCCGTAAAGGTCCTTCCAGCTCTAAGTTCCATGATGGTCCTAAAGAATACCTTTGCTTAAGCAAAGGCCCTGGGGCTTGAGGGAGTCTCAGTGAGTTCCTTTGTTCAGTAGTCTTGTCTGCTTAGAGCAGCGAATGCGTGCCAGAGGATGAGAGAACAAAGGCTAAAACTGGAAAGGCTGAAGAGATTGAACTTGCTGCTCCAGGCAGTGGGAGCCATAGTATATCCTGGAGAAAGGGAGGAGTAATGTGATGAATCCAAATTGTTGAGGACAGAATGAAGAGGGGATAGAAACCGGTTCACCAGTCTTGTTGAATATTTTCTGTTAGCCTCTCTGCCCTGCATCCTCGGCTCTGCACTGTGCCAAAACCACTTAGGACTGCATCAAGGGAGCTCCTTGCTAAGCGGAGGTGCAGCAGGAGATCAGAGGGCAGGGAAAGAGTGAGATGGGACATTCCCTCTTCCCCTTGCCTCTTCCCCTCCTGTGTGGCTGCGTTTGCATTCTCTGGGAAGCCTGGCCTCACCAGGTTCCTGCACCCAGTTCTCTGCCATTGCCTCTCCAGGCCTAGATGGTCCTGGGATATCCTGAATTTAATGTTGCCAAGAGAGAAAGGTAGAGGATGCCCAGTTAAATTTGTATTCCAGATAAATAATGAATGATTTTCTAGTTTAAGTATATTCCAAATATCATGGCTTTAAGTATACCTGTAAATAGTTATGCTAAAAATTATTCATTGTTCATAGGAAATACATAGGTAACTTGGCATCCYTTATTTTTATGATTTTTATGTGCCAGCTGTGAAAACCCTGCCTCAATCCCATGAAGCCAGCCTATGGTCTCTAACTGTCCCCTCTTTAAACATTTTCAGAAGAGACTTTGACAGGTCTTCCATTTCATACCATTTCTGACCCATGCACAATGAGACTTCTGATTCCCACTGAGGTTCTAGGGGTTGAAGTAGCCTGTCCTTCTGAGGGTGAACCTTGGCCAGGACCCCTACTCTGGTGCCCAGTTTGTCAGCATTTACTGCTTTCTCCAATGCATAGGCCCAGAGGCCCCAGGGGAGCTCTCTCTCTCTCTAAAATAATAATAAAAAATTATATTTCCTTGTTTTTCCTTTATGTAGCCTTTCTAGCTACTTCTTTATTTCTTCTGTTCTACCTCAGTTTTGTTTTATGCAATGGAATTTATTCCACCATAAAAAGGAAGAAAGTATTGACACATGCTGAAACATGGATGAACCTTGAAAAACATTATCCTTAATGAAAGATGCCAGAAACAAAATGTCATTTATTATGTGATACCATTTACATAAAATGTCCAGAATAGGCAAATCCATAGGGATAGAAATTAGGTAAGTGGTTGCTTAGGGAGTATGTGTGTAGGGTGGGGGTGGGGGGACAGAGTTGTTGCTTTGGGGTGATGAAATGTTCTCAAGTTCCTTGTCATGATGGTTGTACAACTCTATGAATACTATGAATTTGCTGAATCATGCACTTTAAATATACTATTATTAGTCATTACAGAAATGTAATCAGATGCAAATCATCTGTATATCTCAAATCTATTTTTAAGTTAAAAATTTAAGTGAAACTTTAAATTTTTATTATTTTACTTATTTTTATTGGTGCATAATTAAAAGTAGAATTCATTATATTTGCTCATGAACATATTTTAATCAATCTCATTCCTTTACCTTCCCCTTCCCTTTCCTCCTCCCTTCCCCTGATCTGCTTACTCTATCTAATCTACCCATCTCTCTTCTATTATTCTTTTAATTCGTGTATTATATTTACATATAAAAGCAAGATTCATTTTGTTGATTTATGCATGGACCTGGCATAATTTGGAAGATTTCTTCCCTAGTACTTTCTAATACCCCCTCCTCCTCCCAATCCCTTTCCTCTAATCTATTGATCTGTTCTATAAAATTTTAAAACTTTAACGTAATGACTTCAAAATTGATGTCATTAAAACGTAGTGTTTTCTTAAGTATAGAAATCTTTTCTGATGGACCTGGGGAAAATCTAGAGAATACGAAGGTCTGATTGAGGATAAATAAAAATAATTGTAACTCAAGTCTAGAAGGATTTAAAAATATTAAAGTCTGCRGGGTTGGGTGAAGACAGCCTCCATTCGGGTTCCAGGTCAGCGCTGTAAGTTCAATTTTACCGCTGGCAGCTTCAGCTGTATTAGAGTTGCAGAAGCCGAGAACCATAAAGCCAGGTTGCTCACCCAGGTTAGTCAGAGTCCCACGGTGCTCTTCCTGCATTAGCCTGGCTTCAGAAAACAAGGAGTTTCAGGCGGGTTAGGAAGGCAGTGGGAGAGAGAGCCAAGTTGGGGAGTCTTTGAAGGAAAAGGGGAGAGAAAACTTGAAGCTTCATCTAAATATCCTTGTGCAACAACACTCCTTTTTATGGAGTAATAACGATACCCTTTCTAAGATTAAAAAGAAAATATATCCAACTTATTTGGAAATTCGTGCCCCACACTAGCAAATGCTTCCCATCTCTGTGGTCTTCCCTAGGATAGCACTATCCACAACGCCCGGGCCACGGCCACGGCCACGGCCACGGCCACGGCCACGGCCACGGCCACGGCCACAGCCACAGCCACAGCCACAGCCACAGCCACGGGCAGGCGAAACTGCGCAGGCGCGGCGCTCCCCGCGCCTTCCGCCTCGGCCTCGCTGGTGCGCCCAGGGGTTAGGAGCTCGTGGTTCTCCGAGTCCGCCAGCCTCGCGGGCGATTGTCCGCTAGTTGCCAATCGCTCGGCGCCTGCGCAAACGGCGGGCGACCGTCACCATGACAGCGCCGGCCCGGGGCCCGGGTAAGCAGGGGTCCCCAGGGCTTCCGGCCAGGCGGGCTCTGCAAGAGTGCGCAGCGCGGCCCTGAGCCCAGAGCTCGCCGCCCGCCTTCCCGAGCCAGAGCCCGGAGTTGGGCCTCTCTGAGAGGCTCGTCTGGCGGCAGGGGAGTGTTTCAGGTCCTCTTAGCTCTCCTCACCTAGTTTTCCTTGAACTGAGCGGCTCCTGGCGGCCGGGGATGGGCGCGCGCCCACCATCCTGTGGTAGAGAACCACGGTTCCCGGGAGGKCGTTAAAGAAAGAGCGTTTAGGGCGCCCGAGAACGGCTGGTTATTTATTTGGAGATCTTGGTTGGTTTGAAGGGATCGTGACACTTGCCCAGCCCATAATTTCAATGGACAGAATAGGGAATAGCCCATGGTCAAGTGCGCTGCTGCTTTGGGAATTGGTTGAGGGTTGACAATGCAGGGAAGGCATGGAGCCCGGCCTGCCACCTTCTCGGTGCACGACTTTTGCAAGCTACTAACTAGTGTATGCTGTTGTTTGACCCCTGGAACCCAAGGTGTTTTAAACCGCGGACGTCGAATTCCCCAGAAGGTTACAGTCTCTCTTACATAAGCATGAGTGRTGGCATTAGACAGCCTCGGTGGCGCATTCCTTCATCAGCTTAGATATTTTACAGAATGTAAATATAATAGGTGATCTTTATGGGGCATTTAAAGTATATTGAAGTAGGTCAGAGCTTTCCAGTACCAGGATTTGGACTCATTACTAGTAGTAACTTTTTGGTGTTTTCTAGATCATAGTAAATATAAATTTTTTATCCTGCATTTTTCCTAATATCACCATGTCACAAAGCTTTCTATAAACAAATAACTTTAAGTGACTGAATTGTTTTATCAAAAATTATACTGTAATTTATTTAACCAATTTCCTCATGTTTCCTTTTTTTAAAAAAAAATAGAACTCATGCAGTAATGAACATCTTTTTATTATTCTTCCTCAATTCTGATTTTAAAAAATCTTATGCAAGATTTTTGTAACAAGAATTACTGAATCAAAGAATGTGAACACTTTTTAGGGCATACGTTAAGCCTCATAGAATGTTTAATTCTGAAAGTCCAAATCTCGGACTAGGCTCACACTCAAAAAATTAACCACTCTCATTATTAAGCTGTAAAAATACAGATTTTCCTGAATTAGTGCAAGGTTTGCAAAATGTTGGAATAAATGTGTGCTCAGGTGAAAATTTCCAGATTGTGACACACGCCATTAAAAAATAATAATGAATTCTAATCTCATGACCAGTTTTTGGCTTAGCTAATTCTTAACCAGTTTGTTTCACTAGGTGAATCATTTTCTTCCCTTAACATTTTTAAAAATAATATCTTTTCAGTGTAAAAGAATTCAAAAGGCACAATAGGATTTTTAGTGCAAGGTTCCCTGCAGTCCCTCAGTCAGTTCCTCTCCACACAGGCATGTGTTACCATTTCTTGTATATCCTTTGAGAGGTTCTGTGTACAAGCCACATGTAAAATATATAATATGTTAGTATATGTAATATGCATAGTCTTTCTCCCACTTTCTTTATATACAAATTAATTTTATAGCACTAGTTCTTAGCAGCTTAGAGTAAGTAAGTTTATTATATAGTTCTAAAAGTCTTCAAAACAGTATAATTCAGTGGTTGGCAGTGTATTCACAGAATTGTGCAACTATCACTACAGTCAATTTTAAACTATTGTCATCACCAAAAAAAGAATTAAAATCCTCTTTATACCTCAAACCATAGCTGCACATCTACTTTCTATCCCTACCTATTTATCTTTTCTGGAGGCTGGGGTTGTGGTTCAGTGGTAGAGTGCTAGCCTAGCATGTGCGAGGCGCTGGGTTAGAGCCTCAGCACCACATAAAAATAAATAAATATCTATTCTGGACATTTCATATAAATGGAAATGTACAGTGATGTGATCTTGTCTGTATGACTTCTTTCATTTTGCATAGGATTTTTCAAATTGTGTTCATATTGTGGCATGTATCAGTATTTCATTCCTTTTCAGGGTCAAATAGTATTTTGTTGTATGTGCATATGACATTATTTTATCCATTTATTTGTTGATGGACATTTAGATTGGTTATATTTTTGACTATTATAAATTGTTGTTGTTGGTTTTGTGCTGCTATATAACAGAGACCATAGACTGGGTAATTTGTAATGAGCAGAAATGTATTGGCTTACAGTTTTGGATGCTGAGAAAGCCAAGATGGAGGAGCTAAAGGGCTTTCTTGCTATGTCATAACGTGGCAGAAGGAGCATAGCTGAAGAGCAGCAGGAGACAGAAAGAGACAGTGAGGGAGTACAAGACAGAGTGAGCCTATTCCTATTATAAGGACTTTAATCCGTTCATGAGGGTGGTGCCCCCATGAGCCAAACACATCCCATTAGGCCTTACCTCTCAACCCCACTACCTTGGGGATGAAGTTTCTAATACATGAACCTTGGAAGATGCATTCAAACCATAATATGAATAATGCTGTGGTGAACATTTGTGTGCAAGTCTTTGTGTGACTATATGGCAGATTATTTTTAATGGTGAATCTGGTAGACACACTAGAAGTAAATAGAAGTAACTTTAATGATTGTCTAGTCCAGAGGTCAGCAAGCTTTAAAAAAAATAATTTATTACCTCACATACTAATCATTTATGATAAGAACATTTAACTCTTCTCCCAGAGAGTGTTAAAAATAGGGGAATTTGGGATGAGTATAGGGGCAAATGAGAACTCTGTATTTTTTTTCTATAAATCCTAACTGCCCCCCAAAATGTCTTAATCTTAAGAAAACTGCAACTGATTTTGCCTTTCTCTTGGCCCCATTTTCAGAGTTATAGGCTGCTTAAGATAGTAATACTAATACCCTGGATCATAGGTAATCAGAGGCTTCTTAAATTCTAAAAATATTCATACAGTCCCTGACTTAGGATGATTTGACTTATGATATTTTTGACTTTATATGGTGCAAAAACATTCCATTTTCCATGTTCATATAGTATTTGATAYATTACATGAGATTCAACACTTTATAGTAAAATGGTCTTTGTGTTTGGTGATTTTGCCCAAGTGTAGGTCTTCTAAGCATGCTTAGTAGAGTAAGCTAAGCTCAGATGTTCAGTAGGTTAGGTGTATTCAGTGCATTTTTTTATTTATGATATTTCCAACTTACARTGAATTTATTAGGACATAACCCTATAAGTTAAGGAGCATCTGTATATAGTTGTGGTTAAGTACAATATAGCAATTTCACTCATTAAAAGGGCAAGAAATTTTTTAAAAATTTTAATTTGTTATATATGACAACAGAATGCATTACAATTCACATTACACATATAGAGCACAATTTTTCATATTCATGGTTGTACACAAAGTAGAGTCACATCCTTCATGTCTTCATATGTGTACTTAGGGTAATGATGACCATTGTATTCCATTGTCTTTCCTACTCCAAGAACTTTTTAATTCTAATGTTTTTAGATTCTTCAGTCACAGTATTTGTAAGTGTTTCATCGGTCATTGTAATTATACATAGTAGTGGGATTCGTTGTTACATATTTGTACATGCACACAATAGAAGAATAMAATTTGGCTATTTTGTTGCCCATTATTATTAATTTATAAATTGCMTTTATAAAACTTCAAATGCAGTGTTTAGTTGAAAGGTGCTATGGAAATATCTTATTATGAATCATTATCTAACAACTAGGTTCCATTAAGCAACCATTTATTTAAGTCATTTGGTCTGTCTCAAAAACTTTATTTGTAACAGCCACATTAGTCACATATTCTATCATGAGAATATACTATGATTTAATTATCATCCTATAGTTGGACATTTGTTAGGACCAATAATAGGCCTTCTATAATGCCTGGCTTAAATATTTTAAAAATGATACCTATGCACTGCCATCTAAGTCCGAAAAGTCTCTGACTCTATTCTGTATGCTAAGTAGGGCCATGCATGGTGTKTTGGAGACTGGGGATAGTGGATTCTCCAGCTAACCCTTCCTTCTTTATTCTATTGCCCATMATCTAGGGTGGTTGCTGGGTCCCTGTGCATATTAGTAAGAAGTTTAATTATTTGCTCCTCTGTTCACTGATAAAATATTACTTTTATTTATAGTTTCTGATAGCCTTTTTAAGGTTTGTAACTGKTGTTAGATGGAGTTCAAATGACTTACACATAGGGAATTCGTAAGCAATGTTTAAGTGAAAAAACAATAATTAGGGATGTCAATATTATGAGAAACTTTTTTTATGGTGTGGRAGATCAAACTCAGGGCCTCACATGTTTTTTTTTCCTCTTCTTTTTTGCTTTTTAAAGCTTTCAAAAAAGTTATATATTAGAAAATGGCATAGTATGGAGTTGGCCTGGATACAAGTATTTKTTGCCACCACCTGCCTTAGTCTCAGTTAACTTTCATTTTAAAATATATAATTATGAAAAATCTKGTRTGCCAAAARTAGTTGATAGACATGAGAATTATTTAWATTTGTACATACTAGATAAATCTATGACTGTTAATTCGAGTTTACTTAATATGAGGGTCTGAGAATCATAATTTGAAGATGAATATGTAGCAAAATATGAGATTTGAATTTTATTTTATTTATTTACTTGTTTGTTTGTTTGGTGTTTTGAACCCAGGKGCSCTTAACCACTGAGTCATAWCCCCAGCCCTTTTTATTTTTTATTTTGAGACACRGTCTCATTAAGTTGCTCAAGCTGACCTTGAACTTGTGGTCCTCTTTCCTGGACCCAGTCTCTGGTATTACAGACCTGCACTACCATGCCTGGCCTGTCATTTGAATTATAAATTGTCAATAGACAGTAAGACTTCAGGTAGAGAAAACAATTAAATTGCACAAAACTTAAAAGTTTTAATTATARCTTTCGCTTTACATAAATTAGGGTCACAATCATTAGAAGACATTGTAAAATAGTCTGCTCTTAAATTTCTGCTTTTTACTGGTTTTATTTTCTTTCTACATTTTTATGCTTCTGGTGTTCAGACCATCTTATATATCTACTAGTTATATTACTCATATGTATTATATACCCGTCACATCATAAGTATTCTTTGTTTTTTTTAATCTTGTATTTTCCTCAGGCTAATTACTTTGTTATCCTCCCTGGATAAGTTCATTTTTATTATTTTTTTTATTCTATCACCTAGCCATCCCTTTTCTGGGCATATACTCAAATAAAATAAAATCACTACCTCTTAAATATATCTCTATGAACGTTATTCACAATACCCAAGTTATGGAAAGAACTTGGATGTCTAAAGGCAGACAAATATATCAAGAAGATATGCTATGTCCACACATTGCACATGCATGAGCATGCATTGGGTATATGTGCCTACGTGCACGTGCGCGCACACATACACACACACATACACACACACACACACACACATACACACACACACACACATACACACACATTCAATGTAATATTACTCAGCTCTAAAAAGAATGAGATTTGCTATTCACCACAACATGGATGAACTTGAAGGACATTATTATGCTAAGTGAAATAATCCAGACACAGAAAGAAAAAAACTCATGACTTCATTCATATGAGGAATCTAAAATTTAAAATTTGAAATWTACAAAGATGGAGAATAAAAGTGTGGTTACTCAAAGGAGGAATGATGAGAYGTAGGTCAGAGGATACAAAGTGGCAAATACATTGGATGAACAAATATAGAGATTTCATGTTCAACATGAGGGTATATGTGATATTATAGTGTATATGTGATTTATGCTCAGTGAATAGARATTTTAGCTATCTTGCCACAAAAACTTTAAAAATAGGTAACTGTATCAAATGACTGATGATGTTAATTTGCCTCATTTTAGCAAGATTTTTACTATCAATATGTATCTATATGATCTATCTTATTATACATAATAAAACATTTTAAAATTTTACCTGTTAAAGAAACATTCTTTTTCATGTAAATACTGTCATTTTAGGATCTTGGAGTGAAAATATACTGGAATATTTTCTGAGAAATAACCGGATTAAAACAGAAGATAGCACTGAGATCATCTGGTATCATGCAGCTAACCACAAGGCACAGATGAATGAGGCATTGAAAAGTAAGTCAGTCCAGTTTCTGATGTTTGCTTTAAAGAGTAGATTAATTCAATACCTTTTTTTGATATCTAACCAAATTTTTTTAGTCCTAATCTACCAAATTCATTGGACAAAGGAGGGCATTCTTCTCTCTGCTTCCACCTGAACAGTGAGAAACAGCTGTCTGGACATTTGTGTTTGCTAGAACTTTCTTCAAAAGGACTGTTCCAGAATTTGGATTTGGGGATGATGGTGGAAGTTAGAAATTATCTCTMAATTAAGCTGTACCCACTGACCTATCTTTATAGGTAATATAAGTAATATTTTGAACCCCATCTACTAATTTGGCTACCTTATTTTTCAGAATTCTTTCAGAAAATGAAATGCTGTTTGTTGAACCTTCAAACTGCATCGATAGCCTGAAGGCCTTGTGCAAACTGGCCTGTTTTTTCAAGTTCTCCTGTCCCAGTATGCTTAGTTTGCGTCTGTACCAGCCTTAGAGTCCTCTCATGGCCCAGCTGTTCTCCTCTGACTGCTATATACATTCTTTCTGGAATGCTCTCTTCTCACACTTTGCCTGGCTAACCTCTTAAACATCCTTTGGTATCAATTAAATTGCCTGTTGCTTTATGAAGACTTTTCTTGAACTCWGAATCACAATTCAGGGTAGCTCCCTGTACTCTTCCTTCACATGTGAACTTCTGTGTCCAATTTCTTTTATTTAGCATATTTTTAAAGTTCATTTATGTTCTAAGGTCTATCATTATTTCATGTCTATTTATGATTGTATCATTTCATTGTATGTATATTGCAGTGTGTTTATCCATTCATCAGTTGATAAATATTTCAGTTTCTKATTTTTTGATACTTTTACTACTGCTATGAACATTCATGTACAATTTTTTGTGGACATATATTTGCAGTTTTCTTGCATTATATGTCTATAGAGTAGAATTGCTGAGTCATAGTATGTTTAATTTTTTTAAACTGCCATACATTTTTAAAATGGCTCTATCTTTTATATTCCTACTGCTGTGTAGATAAGGATTCTAATCTTTCCACATCTTTGCCAACGTTTGTTACTGTGCGTTTTTAAAAACAGCCATTTTGGACTGGGATTGTAGCTCAGTCGTAGAGCACTTGCCTAGCATATGTGAGGCACTGGGTTCAATCCTCAGGTGCATACAAATAAAAATAAAGGTATTGTGTCCATCTATAACTAAAAAAGTTTTTTAAAGATAGCCATCTTGTGTGGTTTCTTTAAAAAATATTTTGTTGTAGATGGACACAATACTTTTATTTACTTGGAAAAATTCAAAAGTAGAACACTAGTTTAAGGTAAATTAATTTAGCTTCTTGGCATGTTTGCTCATCTGTAACAAATAAGGATTAAGTACAGTACCTGACATGTAGTAGTTACTCAGTGTTAGTTTTCTTTCCTTCCTTTTATCTTCTTTAAGAGGGACATGACATCTCCTGCAGTTCTGCAGTTTTTCAGCATTAACTTAAGTTCTTTTATTTGGACAGGTAATGCTCATATGATAGAGGCCAATGTCATTCTTCCAAGTAATGGATCAGAGCATGCACAACCAGTCATGGCCCATCCCCCTGAAACAAACAGTGATAATACTCTACAGGAGTGGCTCACTGAGGTTGTGAAGAACAATAAAAGCATCAAGCTGGATTTCAAGAGGTATTTGTACAAACATGCTACTGGCTGTTATAGAGTAACTTGGGGKCAAAATTAATAGCCACACATATGTCTGACTATCTACTTTTGTATCTTTTCCAAAAYGAAAATGGATTTATGGACTCTAGTATGTTTCAGAGTCGACCTAAGACCTACTGAGCTGTTTGCTRTAATTGTTTCTTTGAGGCTAAAGCTRATTTTTATAAAGGGATTTATCATGCACTATCATTCTGATAACAGATTGCTAAATCTAAAGTTCTTTTGTTAAKAAGTAGTCTTGGAAGGAAAGGTTCGGAGAGGTTTTTTTATGTGTATTCAGTTTGATTTATGTTGTTATATGTGTAAAGGGAATAATTTGGAACTTTTCAGTAACCAAAGAATTGCTTAAAAATACTATTTTGGAGACATTGATAATGAAGAATGAGGCTAAATGTCATTGTGTGTGTATGTGGGGGTGGGGTGCTAGGGATTGAACCCAGGGCCTTGTGCATGCAAGGCAAGCACTCTACCAACTGGGCTACATCCCAGCCCCCCACTGTTTATTCTTAAATGCTAGCAGCTACCCCAAAAGAACTGGGCCACTGAAAACTGAAATTTTAYAGTGATTTTTTTCCATAACATTTGAAGGGGAATGAATGTAAATTAATGGTTATAAGAACACTTATTATGCATCAGACATTGTTCTAAGGGCATTACTTGTATTTTTCATTTAATACTCKTAACAATCCTAAGAGGTAGATTGTTGCTGCTTTTCTCATTTTCCAGATGAGGCAATGGAGACCGAAGGGATAAGTAGCCTGCCAGAGGTCACATTGTTGGTAAAAAGAGCTGTCACCCCAATTGGAGAGTTCATGCCCCTAGCCAGATTGCTGCACTACCTGTGTGAGAGGAGCTGAATGATATTTTAGTCAATGTTTAGTAGTTCTTATTTTATGCTTCTAGGTTACATGTTTTAGTATAAAATAATAAGTTTTTAAATTTTATCTGGAGTTTTAGCCAACTCCAGAGTTTAAGCAAAGAATTATTTTCCCTTAAAWTGTAATTTGAAGTTACTTATTATAATATCAAGTATAGTTTATGTTTTGTCATCCCCAATGTCTATATGAAACTTGTAGGAAAGTAGGATAAGATATTCAGTACCATGCTATTTTGATTTCTATAGCGATGTGGTRTGTTTTGTTGTTGTTGTTTTCTGTTTTTGTTTTTGCAGTGCTGGGGATCAAACCCAGGGCCTCACACATACCAGGCAAGCACTCTACCACTG